TTTACACTAAAGATAACATATGCTTAACCTCAGATTCTTCTTTATCAGAAAAGTTCCTAAAAAATAATCCAAAGTGTTATACTTCAGTAAAGCACATTATTAAATAAGCACATTAATGGATTTTCAAATTTATTTGAGACTTGTCAAGCAAACACAAAGCAATGTACTATTTCTCCTTCACTCTTGTTAAACTCTACAGAGATTTGAAGCAATCAGATTTGTTTCTAGGGTTTTTGCCTACCTTAAGGAAGGCAGCAAGGCATACAATGCAGTTTGGCCACCTCCTCCCATCACTGTAGAAAGTCTAAAAAACCACATTGCATTAGTCACTGTCAAAGTTTGCATTGCATAGTAACAGCAGCACCAATGGGAAGCTAAATGCTTGCCTTAAGGTGTCCCAAGATTCTTCTAAAGCTTTTGATTCATATCTTTCCCCCCGAGTAAAGAGTTTTAATTAGAAACCTCATTTGTTAGAATCTGCATCCCACAGGACTGAAAGTAACTTATCTTGACCATAGTGATCATCTATTTACTGACAAAGTTAATGCTTTTCCAAATTAAGTATAATTTTTAGATTACAGTATTTACCTTACTTAAAATGTGCATCTTAGCCTGATCTTAAGACGTAAAGTTATACATATTAAATTTGTTCTTTGACAAGAAACAGTGCCCAGGAAAATGATTTAACACACATGCTTTGACAAAAACAAATATAGCCTTAGTTTTCTTTTAGAGTAGTGATAACCTAAGTTAAGGACAAAATTTGGACAGTAGGAAAAAAATATGACCAATATCTTTAACAGTCAGAACCAGAAGTCTTGAATATTGATGTCTACCAAAAAAAGCTATTCAGATAACACTTTTCAGGGAACAATGAGATAAAAGAAAAAAGGAGATTCTTGATATGATTTGGGGTTTCCAAAGTCTTCGTGAAAAGGAATATAAAGTATATTACCCTCCTATCATTAAATAATAGTTAGAATAATCTTCAAATTTGATGTCTAGTTACTACAATAAAACTAATTTATAAAAATTAATGACTTTTAAACTATTAATGATTTTAAAGAGACTGCATTTATAATAACTTTACATGCTAACTCAGAATCTCTGAGGTAACACACTGCCCCAGGAGGGAGGGATTGTGTAGAGGAAAACGAGCAGGAGAAGGCTGGAAATGCAAGGAAACCAAGAAACAAGTGACCCATCCAAATTATTTCTGATAGCAGATGTTGCTAACAGATGCTCACATTATGCTTGAAGTACAGCTGTGAGAATCAGAAATAGATAGCAAAGATGTAAGCCCCAGAAGGTATGTCCCTTGTACCTCAAAGATACTTGAGATATTCTAGGCTGACAAAGTATGTTTTTTCCAACCAATTCTGCATTATAAAGCAATCCAAACATTCTAAGTATTTTTGCTTAGGTAGTTATTTTAAGGCTTCACTGGTGTAGTCAATAAGAGTATCAGGGATTACTAACAGATAGACTATTCCTGAGAAAGAATCTATTCAAGTCATATGAGAGCATGATGGCAATTACTTGGACTTGTCTGATTTACCTTAACTAGTTTCCAGTCACTGGTGTCCTACAGAGCAGAGTAAAAGCTACTTTGGAGGAAAAAAAAAAAAAAAGCCTTTTGAACAGTAAAAGTAATTCTATAGTATAATCAATAAAGGAATTACAACCAAATATAGGTCAGCTAGCTCATTGCAAAGAGCTCATTGCTTTTAGACCTTTTTCCTGATATTGGTTCAACATTTACATGCCACAAGTTTTCAAAGCTTGAAAAAAATAGTTTGCAAATAATTAACTCTTCAGAAGCAAGATAAGGAATCAAAAGGAAACTTGCAGATGAACAATCTCCTGGAAGTATAAATACCCTGGTGCAAAGCACAACTTTGACACACTGTACTCCATTTTTTTAAAGTAGTACCTAGCTGGTTCTCAGAAATTTAAGATTCTACCATCTGTAAGAGTAGAGTTATAGTGAGGAGAAGAGCATCTATGGCACTCTAATCTTCTCTCAGACTCAGCTATTCTGCTAGTGCTGATTGCTTCCATCATCATTACCAAGAGTGAGCAAATCAGCACTGATGTTCTCAGCCTTCCCACACAGCTGAAAAACCTCAGTATCAGCAGAAGTGATTCTGCTCATTTTTATACCGCTACTAAGCAAAATTCTAATAAACAGGGTTCAAAGGCAAGAAGAATATTATGCTACCTTCCATGGGTCATCACTAAGCAATAACTTTTAATATCTTTATTTTTAAGTTTTAATTCTACAAAGTATCAATGGTTGGGACCCCAGGCTGCAGAGAGCTTCCCAAATAAATCACTGCAAGTCTTTAACTTGGAATAACTTGATCACAATTTATCTTCCTTGTAGTCTTTATATTGAAAGATTTGCAAGGAGATTCACTCTCTCATGATAAAACTTGAAAACAATTAAGAGCAAGTGATTATAAATTATTTTCATAACAAACATCCATGGGAAAGCTTAAAATGTAACAGGTTCATGGTGTAATTTACATTACCTTTTGTTGACTACAGGTTTTGAACTTGACACCCTGTAGTTCTGACCCATGCTGACATTTTAATTTCCAGGAAAATAAAACAGTATTGTTTTTTTCCCCAAGCCAGGAGACGTTCTTAAAACCGTTTTAGAATGCTAGAACTTGATAAAGTTGCTTGAAAATGAGGCTTTAAAATTTGATTCAACAAAACCTACATATAAACCAAGTTCCATAAACCAAGTAACAGGAACACCGAGACACTTATACCCTACATCTCTTGGATTCTTAACAGCAAGAGAGAACGCATAGCCTTATCCTGAAGCTAAGCACTCTTTCAGGACCCTGTATTCCTAGCTCTCGTTGCAAAGTCATTACAAGTTTTCTGAATCTCAGGCTGTTTCACCACTTTCCAAAGTGCTTGCCAAGACAAGAAGTCAACAGCCAGCAGCGTGGACAAGTCTCTCAACTGGATGGGTCACACCTGTAGCAGGTAAGGAACCTTGACCAGGAGCAGCACAAGGAGCAGGTTTCACTGCTTGAGGGTATCCTCACTCTGGTTTAAAGCTGCAGAAGCCGCCTACAACCCCCAGCCCAGCCTACAAGCCCTCGGCCACCAGCAGCTCCCTTCCCTGCTCTGTCAATGAAGCGCAGAGCTCTTAATGAAGCTCAGTGCGAACAGAAGAGAAACTCAGGAGCGGACGGGCCCGGCGCGGCGGCTCCCGCGCAACACGGCGGGGGCTCCTCTGACACCCGCTGCTCTAAGGTAGCGATATGACTTTCTGCCAGCAGATGGAGACAAAACCGCCTTTCTGGAGAGAAAACTTACCGCTTTTGGCAACGCATTTGTGCCCAAGAGACACCAATGAAGGTTTTTTTAAGCTCCTGCCCCAGTCAGCGCTTTTTTTACAACAAATAAGAGAAAGGCGCCCGGACGCTACCGCACGACTGGCGGCTCTGCCCTTTCCTTGGAGACACGGACCCGGAGCTGC